CAGGAAGCAGAAATCTCTGGCAGCGACCCTTCCACTTTCTTCAATTAATCCGTTCATAGCTTCTCCAGAGTAACAATGGCATTGCAAAGAAGTTTTCCATACGACATACTTTGTACTTTTTATGTTTACCAACATTGTTCGCCTTTTCATTTGTCACTTTTGTGTCTGCACAGCTGGCATGCATAGCACTGAAATGCAGCCGAAAAAGTGCGGCCTGTAATTTAATATAAAAATTTCGTTTACCGATTACTAATTCGATTTGACGGTTTTTTTGTATTGTAGTGTCATGTTCTTTTTTGTAATTTGAGATAAAAGAAGTTCAACTCAATTTTTATAAATTTTGAAGAGATGTGAATATGCATTCCTGAATCGATAACTAACAAGTAGACCATTCAGCAATAAATTATTTAAACGGCATACTTTCATAGAGTCTTTGAACACCTTCATCAACTATAATCCTATGACTGACGTCACGGGAAAACAGACAAAGAGCTCGAGGTACCTCACGAGACCGCAGGAAAAGTAGCGCAACTAAGGTGTTTACTGTAGAAGACGCTACAAAGTATTGTATGTTCTCTGATACAAGCCGCCGAAAGCTGGTTTCTTGGACAAGAATAATAGACTAGACTCTGATGGTTTTTCGAGTAGAAATTCATAACTGAAACATTCTAACATCCAGTGGATGAGATATTTAATAGGTAGGTAGTTGCGAAGTTTAACTTTCACGTTGATAGTGATGTCAGCTCTCCGGCATGTGATTGTCCAAAAGGAATAAATGTAACTCTTGCTATGCTATAATACTTATAATTCTAACATTACTTTTACAAGTGGCTGGCTTTTAAGCAACTATGGCATCATATTCTCGAAGTCTTTGGAATTCTTCTCATATCTCAATTTGTGGAAGTTTTCCCAAAGCTCTGTGTTGAGTTTTAAATACTCTCTTTGCCAGCTTGTTCGCCAAATAGTGTTTCCTATGGCTGTCAAGAGTACGGCTTGCGTTAGCAGCAGCACATAGATTCCGCTTCTTTAACAGTAATACCGTCATTAAAGCCGAAATTTCTCGGATTATCGCAGAAATTTAATGCGATTAAAACTTTAAATATGTTGGAACTAAATTTTCAGCGGACAACCGCATGCATCAGCTTACAAAAATATGTCGCAATGCCGAGTTTTAAATATACATATGTACTATATTCCACTGAAAAAACTCAATTTGCCAGGGTAGATAATCAAATACACGATGATGACGAGTCCTGCTGTCGTAATATACCCAAATTGAGATAAAAGCAATGAACGCGATTGCCAAGGGTAAGCAGGAGTCGTTATTGGCAGTTAACGGTCGGTATGCACAAGAACCCAGTAAGAAATTGAAAACTTTTTAAAATCCATTCGTATAGATTCCTCTTCAAATTTGTCTTAATGTTTCTCTAACCAACAACAACAAGGCACAATGTAGTGAAAGCCACCTCCGACCGACTGGTGGATTATATTGAGGAGTTTTTATTTCTAGCCCAAAAATTACTAGGAATCCTTGTCACTTCGGACGTTATTCGTTTGGATATCAGAGCTACTTTTCTTTCAACATATGTATATTTCTTTCTAATCTAAACAAAATACCTAGAAATCTTTTACAGGGATTTTGTTGCAAAACTTTCCTTTAATTTTCTTGGAGTTCTCAGAGAAAATCTCTCATACAGTTTCCTTCCAGTCTTAGTAAAATTTCCACATCAGATATACATATGTATATATGTGCATCTGTATAAATAGAAACATGTTGTTGTTTTGTTTTTGTATTTGTACTCGTAGCCTTGTAAATATGTAAATTAAGCACAAGTGATATGCGGAAAGGGCAATGGCTTCGGCAAAGCATCAATTTATTACCACACAAGGACATAGAAGGACGACAGAGTGCGGCGCGTACAGAGAAAAATGTGAAAAATGATTTCAATTCGAAAAAATGACAGTTAAGGGCACATCGAGTAGGCGAAAATAATCCTGAAATTGTGTTCAAGTACGAAACGAGCGATATTAACGGACCTGTGGCGAAAGGTGAATGAATAGCTTAAGGTATAATAATGTCCGTTCTACTACATATGTATGTATATATGTACATACATACATACTTAATGATATTCGGCGATTTTTTACGGTAAATCCTTGCTGACAAATTGCCAACACATTTTCGCCGGCGTCGCAAAGGAATTCATTTGGTGATTCACTTTGGGAATCACGTAGTAAAAATAGATACATACATATGTATGTACACGCTAAAAAAACATTCCTCCCTACCCTTGTACCACTTTGTTGTTTCTTCTTTCTTCCTTTTGCCGTTCATTTTTTCCTTATTTATTTCTTTCTTTCTTTCATGCAATTTTTAATAGTTCATTGCAAACAAACATCCATATGTATGTACGTATTTTTGTGGTTTTGTTACAGTGGAGTACAGATATCGGTAGTACAAAAAGTAAGGTCGAAATCGTCATTTGAATTAACCAATCAAAAAAGGTTTCGAACGTCAAAAATTTGGAGGGACTAATGGACGAAAACGAACGGGTACCGAGAAAAACTCTTCTTGGGAACAAGCCGAAAAATGAGTCAATTAAAATTAGGAATGAGGACGTATGTAGTTAAGCGTATACATTTAAAATAAGAAAATACGTGTAATCCAATATTTTTAGGAAAAAATAATATATTTGGGTTTATTATTTTTAATACCAAGCCAAACAGAACGTTGCTGCTCAACTGAATGACGAAAATCCTTAGAAGGGAAAGAATATGGGTTATGATTCCTTGTGAAACCCATCTTCGATCCCTCTTTCATTTGACGTTAATTTATCAGAGGAGATTGATAATTTTCAAGAGGTGCTGAAGACCCTTTTTAGTCAGACTGTTAATACATATGAGAGATATGCAAATATATTAAGACATATTTAGCAAAAGTAAGCGCTATTCCTTTAAATTAAAATATTTATTTTATAAATACTTGTGCGGTAAAATGCGAAAAGTATTGTGAACCAGGCAGGAGGAGATTTCACAAAAAGGCTTTGTTAGTCTGGGCTTACAGGGGGATACTCTTTGTCGACGAAACACTCGTTTGTAGGGGTGGGGGCCACGACGAAGGCACCGCAAGGCGCACCGTTTTTGTTTCTATTCGTATCTGTAAATTTACTTGGTTTTTCACTGTGAACTGATTGTAGCTGTCTTAAATTTCAAACGAATTAATTAATGCATGAAATATTAGAGAAAATTAAAGAAGTCGCTGAGATTAACTGATGATAATGAAAAGGATAAGATATGTAGTTAAATTACACATTGGAAAGGGGAGTGTTGATGTTTAATCAAATGTAAAAATATATGAAAGAAGTAGATAAATAAAAGCTGTGTCTTCCTTTACACAAACATAATGATTTTATTTTAGAAATATTAAATCGCGAAGCGCATGAAAAATTTCTAGTGTAAAATAAAGCGGAATAGAAGAAAAATAGAAAGAAAAAAAGAAGAAGAAACAAATGTCAAAAAAATTGCTTGAACAAAGTCTATCTGTGTGAATGTGAAGGGCGACAGAAAAAATAAAATTATAATAATAAGCGACAAAAGTATCCTCATGTAAACTCAGACTTAGGCTTCATGAAGAGAAGAATCTCAAAAAATTTTATAATATGGTCGCTGTGTACATGGATGTTCCCCTATATGTCTCCTATTCACAGACTTTTTCAACATAGTGTAAATACAATTTTCATCACTCGCCTTTTAGCTATTGCACTCGTACTGCACGCAGGTATGAAGTAGTAAAACAAAAATATTTTCTAACATACGAGTACACACACACATATCTATGAATGTAGTTATTCGCTGATCTTTCTTATGTTGCTGTCGTTTTTATTCCGCTTTTCTGTTTGGCATCCTAGTAAATTTTGTTTGGTTGCAGATGCGAATATACTTTTTCAATGTAACGGGAATATAGGCAGGCTTACAGCGTACATATAAGCGTCTGTATGTCCATATGTACATATACATACACACATATGTATTTACGAAATAACCAGTGTTGGTCCTCTTCATCGTGCAGACAATTTGTGTACTCATATAGATACATACACACATACAAACAGTGTGCTGCAGATGTTTTCCCATGCCGTATTGGAAATGCCATGATGCTGCTTTGGTATAAATGCTGCCATAGTACATATGTATGTGTGTATGTAAATACATATCGACATCTTCTCTTAGTTGGAGCTTTGTAACCGCGGAAGCGATTTTCGGCCGAACTCCATATTACGAATGGATGTACCTACATTTTATTCCTATTTCGAACGGTTGAGGGTATTTTATGGAAGCCTTTATTTCATATCGAGGTCGCTTGACATTCCCTGCCGCGAGGAGAGCGCAATTAGAAAAATAATGATTATAATAATTTTGAATGTTGTCGAAGTAGGACTCGAACCCTGGCCTTCAGAATAAAGGTACGCAATGCTAACCACTCGGCTATTGCGGCCACCTTGTACATTTACAAAGTATCTTTTTGCTTCAATTGTACAACTCCGCTCTTTGATTTTAAACCATCCAGTAAAATGAACACGTATTCATACATATATGTCTATGTATGTATATACTCTCTACACATTGTGTCGTTCATCCCTCAAAAAAGTAGCTCAGCTTGGTTTGCAGCACTTTTGAACGCGAGTTACATATAATACCTAGTTATTTTCCAATTTGTGCTGCTTGCTGCTGCTACTTTTGTATATGTATGTGCGCTCTTTCTATTGGAATTGTATGCGAACAAAATTGGAAAATGTTTCTCAGAAGAAAACGAAGTTTATGCTGTAAACATCCACGCTCCATACTCATACCAATGTTAAAACACTCTTTTCAATACACTCACTCTCGTTCTCTCTCTCTCTCGCTTTCCATTCGTTGCACAACTGGACGCTGTTGGTTGATGTTGCAGCCGGGTATTGCTGTTTTTCCCCTATTTTTCATGTTTTTCGCGTCCCGGCGTGTAGTTTGAAAAACACTTTTGTACGTCGCGCAACATATAACGGATAAGTGCAACGCCAAACATTTGAGGAAACGCGCTCTTGGTACAGCTGGATTTCAAAGACTGAGGAAATTTTAGTGAACAAACTTTTTTGCTGGATTTACCTAAAAGTTGCTGGAGTGCAGTGAAATACGAAAATAAAATTTGACGAATTTAAAGAATACATATGTATGTAGGCTTATCGGAAAGTGAAAAAAACTGAAATAAATTAAAACGACATAGATATGTATATTGTGAAATTAGAAGGATAACTAACAAAATAGTGTTTTATGGTGATTTTTTGAACGCAAGTGAAATTTTAAAATTGGTTTGATAGAAAAGACGAAGCTTTCAATTAAGACTAGTAGTGTTGCTGTGGATGGTGCAATCTGAAAGGATAATTAATTGAAATCGGAATAAAATAACGGAAAAGTATGTATTAGTATAATTTTTTATAAGATTTTTAGGAATTTTTAAGTGTTTTATTTAATGCAGAAATACTGTTGTTTGTGCTAGCTTACAGTTTTTTGTGTTTCGAAAAAAGGCCTGAAAAGATAATAAAAACAAACAAAAAAAAGCATATTATTAAAGTGTAGCCCAGGAAGGTACTACCTAAATGTGAATAAAACATATTTAAAAAAAAGCAGCTTACCATCATAAGACAATTACTTCAATTGAAATGTTTATTAATAAAAAATTTATTTAGTAACAAATATTAACTTTTTTAAGAAAAACCATTTCCATCAACGATTATTTAGGTTTTATATTACTCAGACCAAAAGATATGGATATTATTAATAAAGTGTGCTCCATTCACAAAAATAATTTGGAAATAATTTTAATAATATAGTTATACATGTACATATGTATGTACGTTTATTAAAAACAATTAACCAGTTATTACCATATAATTAGTGCATGCTCTTCTCGATCATCCCAAAAAACTTATTTATTTAAAAGCAAATGTTGCATATTAAAAACATACGTTTTGAAAAAAAAAAACTTTTTTACGCGTACAATTGAAAATCCTAATGGATTTATTTTAACTTTTTCAAAATACAATAAATATATTCTGATTAAGACTTGGAAAGGTATTTTATAAAAAGAATCACCAATCGATGTTAAACGCTATTGAAAAACGTATTATTTAAGAAAAATTTAGACTTTGAGTAAAAATACGCTTCATACCCACAACAAAAATAATAAGGGCAAAGTGAATTGCTTTTTTGCAGGTATTCTTCAAGTAAGAGTCGTAAAACCGAACCGAGGGAACTAACGCGTTGTATTGTTTCTCGTGAAGATTTATTTTAAATATACATAGCTTTTAACCATTCATTTCAATTAAATATTCTTTGTACTTCAACCATTTTTCCATTTTTATTGGAAATAAATTTACGCCAGTTAAAAAAATTAAGAAGCCTAAAAATAGAACTCGAACTATATTGAGAAAGTCCCTGTCGGTTTGAGCTGTCCTAAATTTGTCGTACATTTATTTGTAAGATATCATATATAGTACTTACGAAAATAAACCAAAGTATTTTTATTCTAAATTAAACAAGGATATAAATAATGTATTTATCCAGAGAGTAAATATCTCAAGTCTCCATGAAATGGTTAGTTAGGTATCGTATTAAAATATATTTGTTCACCTTCAACGAAGGAAAATAAAGTAAAAAGGTAAACAAATTAAATATTAAAACAAAACTTCTTTATAGGTGTAATTAAATCAAAAAAATAAAATCAGAATACACTTGCCAAAAACAAAACAAAAAAAATTATATGAAATTTTGAAAGCTAATTAAAAACGCTATCCAATGCCAAAAACACAAGAACACACGATCGAAAAGTTAATTAATATAACGAATATTGACCTGTGTAAAATTAGATAAATGTATGTATTTACATACACGTATGTATATTAGTTTGAAAGCTAATCTTAATAAAATTAAACATTTTTCACCAAGAAAAATTACATAAACCAGCTAAGCCTCCCTTCGGCGCGAATCATTAATCTTGAGCTAACAAAGGCGCTATACGAAGAATAAGCTTTGATAAGTTGAATTAAAGTTTAAATTTCATTAGCAACGATTTTTTGGCGCGGCAAGGCGCATGTATGTAGGTATGTATGCACACATATGAGTATACATACAAATGTAGGTAGTTTGGAAATTTGTACAACCAAGTCGTAACAAAACCTTTAATTGTATGGTTTTATATTTTGGTGGCAGCTATTGCGAGCGCAGCCACATGCTTGAAGCAGAAAAGAGGCAACGAAGCCTAACTTCCGCTACAACAAACTCTACTTATAATACACATATATGTATGTACATATGTAATAGATATTAGTCACTACTAGCAAACAAAAACGCCCATTTATTATTTTAATTTTCGTTGATTTATTGTTCGAAATAAGGGTTTTGTAAAATTATACAAACTTACACAGAAAGTTTATGTATAGATATATGTACATGCATATGTACGAAATTTTGGTGTTTTTTTCACTGCATTTTCCATTATTTATTAATTTAGTTTTTGTTTACATTCGAGTGAAGTGGCTTGAGGAAAGGACCATATATCACACTTTGAAAGAAAAAAATTGTTGAAAGCAGTGCCATCAACAACAAAACGTTCGACAATTTGGCGTGTGAATGCCATATTTGCTTGATGGCTTTTTCCGTTCTCTGCACTTTCGCCTCCACACGCATATATGGAAGAATAATTATCGACATCTCTTATGAATTTGTAAGAAGAAAGATATATATAATGACGGCGAAAGGGTGCAGCTTTCCTTTCATACTCGATATAAAATTCTATCTGCATGTACATATGTATGTACGTACACGTAGTGTCAATTCTAGGCAACAAAAAATGTAAACAAAATTTCTTGTGTTTGAGTTTTATGTGAAAATTTGTGATCTTCGACTTTGCGTTTGATAAACAAATTTCAATAACAACGAAATGCCGAAATTTATTGTAAACAATTTTTGATTTTTGGTTTTTTCGAGTGCAGCTGCAAGAAGCCTGCAATGTATAAATATGTGTACATATATCTACTTTTGTATGTGTGTGTGTGGCTACCCGAAAGATAGCTATATGAGACCAGTTAACAATAAGACTTTTTTAAAATTACAACTATGTTTCACTCATTACAACGTCAATGTCTTGGCCACACTTTTAACATTTTTGTCTTTTTTAATTTTATTCCACTTATAATTTTTTTTTTTGTATTTGGGGATTATTTCCCTCGAATTTTTTTTTCTTGGTCTGGGTCAAATGCTTAATTTCATTACGTCTGCTTGTATTTCCGCTATAAATCTTTTCATATATGTACATATACATGTATACAGGCATACAAATGTATGTATGCAAGGGTAACACAGCGCTAGCAGCAATTAAATGTCGCAACAATCGCGTTGTTGGGTCTGCAGTGTACCAGAGTGAACTTTTTGGTTTTTTCTCAGTTTGTAAACATCTACATACATATACAATACAAGTAAATAACTATTAGAATACATAAAAGCAAACACACTATTTTTTATACACACTTATGGCGCGCTCGCACCTATGCATTCCCCATTTGGTTTTAGGTTAAGAGCAGGCTCCCCAGCCAGCCAACTGCTCCTATCTCCTTGGTGGCATCAAGCATAAATTTATCATGTTTATTGTAGCGCCGCCGTGTTGCACGCGTGAACTCACGTGTCTCTGGCTTAGTTGTTGTTGTTTTTTATACGTTGGCTTGTTAGATTTTAGAGTTTTCACCGAGTTTAGATGTTTGCAACTGCTTTTTCTCGATGCTCCATTCCTTGTCCGCTTCATGCACTTAAGCGTTGTTGACTTTGACACTGATAAATATTGTGAGTATTTTTGTTGTTGTTTTTGTTATATCACAAAAGTTAATAGATAGGTACATACACGTATGCTAACATATGAGGAAGTTTTTGGCAGGATAAATGCACAGGTAAAAAAAAAATAAACAAAATTAAAAACTGGACAAAAACAGTTGTAAAATAATTAAACAAAGGACAAAAGAAATAAATTAATTAAAAATAAAAATCATAATAAAAAAAAATTAGCTGTCGTTAATTAATAAAATATAAAATAACAATAATTCAAAATAATTTAAAGAAATGTAAAACCGAAATTTTAAACGAATTATAATTTAAATTAGTTGTAAAATCATTAAAAAAATAATAAAGAAGTTCAAAAATAATTACAAAACATACACATAATTAAAAAAAATAAAAAAAGTAAAATAATAATGAGAAAATATATTAAGAAATAATAAATAATATATCATATTAAAAAATGTATGTATATCTGACCTCCAAGCCAAAAAGAATATCATTATAAGATAATAGTAATTGTATTCAGAATAATAAATGATGAGCTAATAATTCATAAATAGAAATAAAAACTGTTAATAAAATAAAAAAAGATATTAAAAAGAAAATAAAAATATTTGTACATACGCAAATATATTTTAAAATAACAAAAATGTTTTTACCCCCGAACTGAGTATATATAAAAAAAAGTAAAAATCCAATTGAATAAAAAATTTAGTAATTATCCGTGACGTCAAAAATTTTTATAGGAATTTTTCAAAAGCATAAAAATGTCAACTTTATATTTAAATATATGCATGTAGTATTTAAATATGTTTAGAAATATATATGTATTTACTAACTACAATGTATATATATATATATATTTATATGTATATACTAAGTGTATATATGTATATATAGATATATTTAAATAATTAAAAAGAAATTCTCAAAAGTCATTAACAGCCGTTTTTTGTCTACAAATAGTACAATACATACATATGTACATAAATGTGTTACGACAGAGTTTGAAAAAAATTACAGAAACACAACTTTGAATCACTTACGAGTACAGTACTCCCTCCGGCTAAGCCCTTTTTTACTTGGTTAAAACAAAAAAAAAGTAGCAAAAAGAAGATACGAGCAAGAAAGAAACAGTTCTATTAAACCAACGCAGCTAAAAAATGAGAAATGAGCTTGTAGGCGCTAGAACACTTCAAAAGCCGCGTGGGCAACACCACTTAAAACTCGATAACAACAAATGTTTTTATGTATGTACATATGTATGTATATTCTCTATATACGTAAAACTCCAAGGTTTGTTTGGGAAAAGTCTATTTTTTATTGCAGCTCGTTAAATCTTGTTTTGCGTTTAAGCGAAATTTTAAGTGAACACACAAAGAGAATACAAAAAAAAATACACAAACAAACAAACAAGTACAAACCGCAACCGCAAAACATTAAACAAAACGGGCTTCAATTAATGTTAACCAAAATAATAATAAACCAACAACAAATTTCTAACCGCTGTAACGTTGGTGAGTGGTTAACCACTCAGAACGGTTTACAAATTCTATGAAAATTTTTATTTTTACATTTTGTTTTTAC